AACTACTGGAGAATAAGTTTCTTCATAATCTATTCCCGCCATTTGGGAAAAACCTTGGGCAACAAGTCGGGCTTTATATCTTACGATTTCATTCTTCTCATTGCGTTTACGCACAAATACCCATTTAAAGCCCACTGGTTTTACGATTTTTGGCGTAGGGACTATCGGTCCAAAAACATCACGTTTTTCAAGTGATTTTAATTCAGCCTGAATAGTTTCATTCCATTTTGGCCAATCATGTCGTTTCCGACATTCTTCTATTGATGTTGGCTCATTGTCATTGTTTTCATTCATAACATTTGTGGCAAAAGTATAGACAAATATCTTATTAATATCAACATCTTTACGATTCCATTGTATTCCAGTAGAAATGTAGTTTATTGAAATTTCATAATTATCAACGTTTCTATCATTATCACGAATATCTTCCTCGTTTAAGAAAGGTTGATCATCATTTGAGATGTTTTTTGTCAATATCATTTTCTATGCCAATATTTTCAAATTGTTCATTTTCTTGTTCAGAAGGATGAACATCTTTAGCATCACAGATTAATTCTTGCCTTTTAATTTTTCTTGGTTTTATGTCTTTTGATCCAAGTGGCCTGCCACAGTTTTTGCGTATAGAAGAATCATTTGCAAGAGATTTTTCAAAATTTTCCATTGGGATTTCGATTCTGGCAGGGGCATTCATAGCAGGAATATGTGACTTTGTCACTTTCTTTGTATCTGTGAACGCATCAGGCAATTGATTTGCAACATTTTGTAAATGAGTTATCTTTTGCACCTCTTGCTCACATATATTTGATCTTGAATCAAGATGTGATAATCCTGTTGCATTCCATGTAATTTCTTTCGTACTTGGATCTAGATTATTATTTTCTCCCCCTATGCTATGAATAAATCACCAGTCATCGGTTTGAGATATTTTATTATTGAGGGAGATTCAAAACCAACATAAATTCTCAACCTTCTTTGAGGACCCATTTTTGTACGATGAGGTGGAGCGATTGGAACATAAACAACACAACCAAATATCTTAATCTTTGCTAAGTTTGGCTCTTGTCCAATTACTAATTGCATTGGGGAATATTCATGATATGCAGTTGGTCTAAGCCGAATTAAATTTGCTGCATGTAGAATAGCATGTCCCCAAGCTGATGAAGGTAAATTACACTTCATTAATAATGGTCTAGCGATTAATTGTAATCGTTTAATCAAAGATTCAGCAAGACCATTTTGTGTATGGACATGAGCAACAGGGTGCTCCACATCAATCCCAATCGACATACAATAGTCGTTAAATATTGGGATGTAAATTCTCCTGCATTATCAAGTCGGATTCTTTTTATAGAATGATCCGGAAAATGAGCTCTTAATCGTATGATTTGAGCAAGGAGTTTAGCAAATGCTAGATTTCTAGTTGATAACAGACTGACATGTGACCAACGTGTTGAAGCATCAATCAACACCATAAAATATCGAAATGGTCCACATGGTGGGGCTATCGGCCCACAAATATCTCCTTGAATCCTTTCTAAAAATGCAGGTGATTCAGTTGCAATTTTGTTCATAGAGGGTCTGATGATCATTTTGCCAAGAGAACAGACCTTACAAGGAAAATCCCTCGATATTGGAACCCTTATATTCTTTAATGGATGTCCAAGTGAGGTCTTAATGATTTTATGCATCATTACCTGGCCTAGGTGACCTAAACGGTCATGCCACAACATGATTGTTTTCTGATCATCTAACTTTGTGTTAGAAACCAAATTTATTTCAAATGGACTAATATATGTGAAATATAGTCATGAGGAATATGCTGGCATTTTTTCACAAATATATTTAGTGCCAGATTTAGTTGTTGTAAGACAAATAAATTCCTTTTGGTTTTCATTCATGGTTTCTATGTGATAACCATTTTGACGCATATCTTTAAAACTCAATAAATTTCTCCGCATTTTGCTGGAGTATAAAGCGTCATTTATAATAATTTTTGACCCGTTAGGGAGCATCACATATGCTTTCCCACAGCCTTCAATGAGCTTCGCAACACCTGATATGGTATTGACTTTAGCCTCAACTAAAGTCATTTGAGAGAAATATATTTTATTTCTCAAAATGGTGTGCGTTGTGGCACTGTCTATCAGACATAATTCTTTATCATTTGAGTGATCCATATCTTCAATATATATAAACATAAGTTTGATCACAAATTATGCATATTATTTAACATAAGAGTATATACATTACACATATTTATTTAAAAACAAAATAAAAAGGGGAAGAAAGAAAAAGTACATAAAACTAGTATTGTACAATATCAAGAGTCTACTATTTTATTTAGTAACATTTTGGGTTATGGCAAAAGCATCATTCATAATGGCATCATCCGCGAAAAAGTCAGACACGTCAAATTTTGGCAGAGGTGGAGTTGTGTCATTGACATAATTAGCTTCCATATTTTTGCCTTTGTTCAAATTCATGGAAGTTTGAAATAATTCCACCAGATGTTTCGCAGTACGGCATTTGTTAGCCCAATGCCCCGTCATGCCACATTTATAACAAGTCGTCTTTACCGAGGTTTTTGGAGGGTGATTTATTCGATGGGCCTTTTGTTTACCCTTGCCCTTATAATTTGCTTTATTGACCTGTTTATATTCTCGATGTGACTTGTTTTTATAACCATTAAAATGCCCACGTTTAAAATGTCTTCTACTGCCACTGTATGTTGCATTTGATTCAGTGGCTAAATTATGGCCAGATGGACCATAAACCGAAGGACTATAACCAGTGGGTCTCAGATTATGATTTTTCATCAAAAGGTCATTATTTTGCTCAGCTACCAATAATACTTATATTAAGTCGGAGTATTTTTTAAAACCCTTTTCTCTATATTGCTGCTGTAGCAGCATATTAGAAATATGCATTGTAGAAAAGGTTTTCTCCAACATATCAGCATCAATGACATTTTGTCCGCATAACTTTAGTTTAGATGTTATTTGGAACATGGCAGAATTATAGTCACTGATTGATTTAAAATCCTAGAATCTTAAATTGATCCAGTCATACTGAGCTTTTAGCAAAAGTACCTTTTGTTGGTGGCCATATCTCTCCTGTAAATTGTCCCATAATTCTTTTGGGTCATCAATCAAAAGATATTCTGATTTGAGACTTTCATGGAGATGGTGACGGAGAAAAATTATAGCTTTCGCTTTGTCCTGGGAGGAAGATTGATTATTAGCCTCAATAGTGTCTTCCAGATCGTTAGCCTTCAAATGTGCTAAAACATCCACTTTCCATTCCAAATATTTTTGGCCGGAAAGATCAAGAACATTAAATTCTCTTTTGCTAATATTTGCCATGATATACTACAAAATGATTGAGTTAACTTTAATTAGTAAATTATACTCATGTGCGTATATAAATTATTTATTATGTACTAATAACTTTATACCCCGCATAAATGAAGATACAACTAAAATAAATATTGAAGTAACAATTTCCTGATCGAATTAAGCAAGTAAAATTTTGACTAGCAAATTATAACTGATATCATGACACATGTGACATGTATGTGCGTGTATGTTATTAGCTAGTTACATAATAAGTACAATTAATCAAATAAATAAGAACTATCTGAGTAATGATCTAATACGTGTATATCAGACTTATTAAAATTGTTACTTAATGATTTCAGAAGCATGTAATTTGAACCTTAAAGAGTACGTATATGTCTTTATGAGATAACTTCGATAAGTGTTGAGCAGAGAACATTTATTATTATGTTTGTCACTTAGTTCCTGAGAGGTTTGTCACTTAGTGATTTATTTATTTGTGTGTTAATTTGAATGAAACATCAGAACTTATCAATACATGTGATTGTATTATATTGCATGTAAATGAGAACCACTCATTACAATCCTGTGAGCACACTACTTAGTTGCTCTCTTTCTCTCTTCATATATAGTATTCTGTTACTCCTGCTGTACGAAGTACTACGTTTTCCTGCTTTCTTATACTTACTTATCCTTTATTTATTATATAGTTGAGTACGTAGTTATAATTTATTCATCTCAACTTAATTTCCTCTTCTTCATATAAAGAGACTATCGAGATGGGAAAAGCGATACTAGCTAGTGCATTTCAAAAGGTATGTACTCCAGATGATGTTTTGTTTTTAGAATGAAAACGAATTTGATTTTCGATCGGAAGAATCCTATTTTGATTAAATACTTATCATTTTCAATTTAGAAAAAAAACTTATGTTTATACAGAGTAATATATTAGAGAAAATGATAAATCATGATTTACATACCTGCAGGAGGAGATAGATATTTTCTTCAATGGAAATAAAACGAAATGATTTCTTGGAGGTTTTGAGCAAATTCGCGCTGATAACGTGTTGTACAATAAAGAATATACAGAATAAATTTAAGAGATAGATATATTATTAATAAGCTCTAAATATTTCTTCTTAATATCTGAAATTTTCTGAATTTATGAGTTTCTGAGTTTTTCGGTGTGTTTACAATGAATGAAGCAAGCCCTATTTATACTATCCAAACTTAGGGATGAATCATCTAGGAATGATTCTACATAATTTGCTGGCAGCATTAAATCTAGTCATGTATGTGATTACAAGGATTTGTGTTTAACTATTATCCTGATTACGAGGATGAATAATCACACTTGTCAATTCGATGGTTTTAACATATCAAAATTTAACCCAAAAAGAGAGAAATGGAATGCCAAACGACAACAATGGAGTCTAAGGGGCGATGTTCACCCTCAATTGAGTTAGTAGACTTGATGTGACTTGACTACAGCAAAACAAATTTAGAAATAATTTAGTCGTTTTTGAAGAAAAGAAAGTTTCAGGGCTGACGGGGTTCTTCCATTGCTGAACTGAGCCTCTTTGAAAGTTTGAACTTTGTTTTCTTTCTATCTACCTGTAGATGCGCAGATAGTGTATATTTTGAGATTTGGGGTGGGGGGGTCAAGATGAATCGAATGTGATGGGGGGAGGGTTTTCGCAGCTGTGTCCGTGCACAAACCCGGCGGTCAACGGAGGTGAACCGGAGGTTACATTCACCGCCGGAGAGCCTTTAGACGAAACCCTCGGACACTCCTTCTGCTATGTCAGGTCTTCATCTCGGTTTATCACTCCTCCCCACTCAGATCGGTTTCTCTCACCGTCGCAGTCGCTCCGATTTGACGAGCCGGTTCAGCAGAACCCCAGGCCGACGGGACTAGCAGAGACTGGTTTCCGAGCAATTTCCGGGGCATCGGTCAGTGCAAACACTTCTACTCCCAGAACCGTCCTCCAACTTGACAATCTTTACGACGACGCCCCTTGTTCTGATGGCAGTGTCGTGGGCTTCTCTGGTGCTGCTGGAGTCAGGGGCAGTGTGGTGAACGGGTTTGAAAGCACTTCTTCTTTCAGTGCCCTGATTCTTCAGCCAGTTCCTCGACAAGGAAGCGGCAGTGAACCGCCGGGTCCCCCGATCGACCGGACGTTTTTCATGTCTGGTCCATTCGAGCGGGGTGCCCTCTCTGGACCGCTAGATTCCGCTGCCTCAGGGACGGACGGCTTTGGAAACAGGATCACTTTCTCGGCTCCTCTTGGTGGTCTTTATCATTCAAAAAAGAAAGGGAGGAGGAGGAGGAGGAGCATTTCTGGGATCCGGAAGGCCTTCAATAGAAATTTCTCCGACAAGAAGACACCTTGGGTTGTCCCTGTTCGAAACTTCATTGGCCGTAAGGATATACTGGCTGCTTCAGACGGCTACCATGAATCTGAGAAGAGTAGGGACAGTAACGTCCAGTGGGCTTTAGGGAAAGCAGGTGAAGATCGGGTGCATGTGGTGGTATCCGAAGAACATGGTTGGCTATTTGTTGGTATATACGATGGGTTTAATGGTCCAGATGCCCCTGAGTTCTTGATGAGCAGTATGTACAAATCCATGTACAAAGAACTAGAAGGTCTATTTTGGGACCGTGAAGAGACTACTTGTAGAGAGACTAGATGTAGAGAAGAACTAGAAGAAGTTAACCCGCCTTTGCCTGACAGAGGAGGATCAGCAAAGAAGGTGACATTTCAGTCTACTGAGATCGAGATTAGGAGGAGGAGATTGTGGGAGTTTTTGGCTGAGGATGAGACTGAACATGGGCTTGATCTTTCTGGTTCGGAAAGATTTGCCTTTTCAGTAGATGATGCAATCAGTGTAAGTAATGCAGGTTCTGCAGTGGGTAGAAGGTCTTTGTTATTGTCAAAGTTGAAACAAGGATTGTTGACTAAGCACATGAAGAGCAAGAAATTGTTCCCTTGGAGATTTGGGCTGCAAGGGCAGGACAGAGTTGAAGTGGAGGAGGAGGAGATTAATAGAGTTGAAGAGGAAAGAGCTGTTAGAAATGAGAAACGTAAGGTTGGTCCTGTTGACCACGACTTGGTTCTTAGAGCAATGTCAAGAGCGCTTGAAGTGTCCGAACTTGCCTACTTAGATATGACTGAAAAGGTTCTTGATAGGTACCCAGAGCTTGCCTTGATGGGTTCTTGCTTGTTGGTTGTTTTGATGAGGGATGAAGATGTGTATGTGATGAATCTTGGAGACAGCCGGGCAATAGTTGCTCAGTCTAGCTCTGAAGTGCCTATTTCCAGTTCACTTTATGCTGCTGGAGAGAGCATTTTAGAAGATTCAGCTCAAAACGTGCGATTGACTGCACTGCAACTGTCAACTGATCATAGCACTAGCATCGAAGAAGTAATTTTTTCCCTTCCCTGCAGCCGCATGCACTCTTAAATAATTTATTACTCAATCCATCCCATAAGAGTTAAGTTTGATGAAACCACTCTAATACGTCATATAATTTTCCAAAATAAAGTCATATACAAGTTGCATATGGTAATCTAAAATAAACCAACAAATAAATTTAATTTTTTTAGTACAAATCATGATTTTCGTCAGTTCTACCTTAACAAAACTTAACAAAATTTAAAAGTTGTACTTTGGCTGAACAAGACAGTTTTTGGAACATTGGTAGTATTTGATTTGATCTAGTATCAGTACATGCTTTCCACTAATTCTTAATTTGAAAGTTTATTAGCCCTACTCGTGCTCTTACCCCACCGTAGGTGGGAGCCTTTGCGGCACTGGGGTAAATGAAAATGATGATGATGATTAGCCCTACTGGTCAGTTAAATGCCCAATGAAGTGTTTGATATGCTAGTTGTTTACTATTGAGTATGAATCACTGGTTCCATTTAATTGGTGAACTATAGGTGGTTCTTTTAATCTGCTGGTCCATGAAAAGAGGATGAAAGGGTGCTCTTTATTTTCGTTTTCTCTGAACAATATTTACTGAGATTTGGCCGGAGCACATTGTTTCCATAGAATTCTAAGTTTTCATTGTTTAATTAAGTGCAGATGGCTCAGTTTCTCTTATAGGTTGGTTCAGTTAGAGAATGAATGAACCTTTTTGAAATGCCATGAAGCATGAAATCCTACTGAGTAGTGTTAGCCTGTTAGATACTTAAACATACCCCGTGGTTCATTAGGTCATTGAGGGTATCCATAGGTCTTTATTTCCTTGTAGGGTGTTTTATAAAACCAGGAACTATCTATTCACATGTTCCTTTGGCTGATACTGTCATTAGTTCTTAGTGATGCTTTGTTTTGCCTGTGAGTTACTAGAGTGCTCATGTTCACTGGTAATAGACTAATAGTACTGTATTATTATTGTTCTCGGGACCTTCCACCTTTCCTAGAAAGATTCACAGAATGACAGGTCATATTGGTGTTATTATATTATGGATTTTTCGTTGGTTCACGAATCGGTATATTTTAACTAAAGCAATTGGCAATGATATGGGTCTCTGATTTTTGTGCTGAAGAAAAGACATTTCTAAACAGCTGGAGTATGTATGCCGCACATCCAGGGACACTGGACACACTTGGATGTGCCACAATACATATTGAACACACCAAATATGTGTCGGGGTGGGGGTGGGGGTGGGGGGGGGGGGGGGTAATATGGGGAAGTTTTGATGACACATGGTGGGGCACTTAGGAGACACAACAAGGGGCTCTTTTTTACCAACATATCACTTGATGAACCACAACTTTAAGTCATTATTTATTTATTTTTCACAAATGAAGTACTTTAAGTTGATCATTAGACTTGTAATTCAAATGCTCTATTTTAATGAGTTAACATTGTTTTTGATTTCTATATATGCATTATCTGTATTACATCCGAGTCCTTGTTTCGTAGGTTTTTTTTATTGCTACTTGCAGATCTTTTTCAGGAAGCTTATTGAGTTACAATTGCTAAAGTTTATATACATCATCTATGGATAGTAGTTGCATTTCCTTTTTAAAAATTTGTAGGAAGCAATTAATTTGGTTGTTTAGTGACTTTGGTCTCAGATTTAGAGTTGCATAACTGTACTTTGTGTTTTACATTGTTTCCCCCCACATGTCCTAAATGTCTTGACCTTCAATTTATTGATACCCTTTACTCATTTGTTTCCCTATGACTATTCCAGGAGGTTACTAGAATCCGGAATGAACACCCTGATGATAGTAACTGCATTGTTAACGACCGAGTAAAAGGTCGCTTAAAGGTCACTCGAGCTTTTGGGGCAGGCTTCCTGAAACAGGTTGGTATTCTTTAAATTTCTTGAGATATCTTTGTCAGGGGTTTGTTGTGCAAATAGAGACATAATGACTGTAAAATAAATTGTTAATGAAAGTTATAATGTGAAAACTAGTACAACCTCCATCACAAAACAAAAGTGTCAAAACTTTTGGGCACTCAGATTAAGAAGGTGGTATAAAAAACCTAAACTAACCCCCTCCTTTTTCTGAAGCAGTCGAAAAGTAAGTAGAGATGGGAATCACAAACATGTAGATCTAAGTAAAAGGAAGGGTAAATTGTGAATTGTATGTAGTATCATTTGCCAAAAAAGGAAACATAACCTTCGTTTTGGGACAGCCCAAAAGGGAAATACATAACTTTTATTTCGGGATGGAGGGAGTAATTATTTAACTGCATTTTGTGTGTGCTCTAGGGTGTTCTTTGTCTTGGTAGATGCTTAATGTTAGTAAGTTTTTTTCATTTATATTTACATTTCTGTCTTAAATAAATATAAAAGTGAATTTATTTTGTTTGTAATAAATACGAACAAAATATAAAAAATCATCGCACTGATTTTTTTACTACCTATGCTCGTCTCAGTTATTTTGTTTTTGTTTTGCTATCTATGTTCATGCAGCCTAAGTTGAATGATGCACTACTGGAAATGTTTCGCAATGAGTATATTGGCCAAACACCTTACATTTCTTGTATACCTTCACTGCGTCACCATAGACTCTGCCCTGAAGACCACTTTTTAGTGCTCTCTTCTGATGGTTTATACCAATATTTGAGCAATGAAGAGGTTGTTTCTCATGTTGAAGATTTTATGGAGAAATGTCCCGATGGAGATCCTGCTCAGCACTTGATTGAGGAACTTTTATTCCGTGCTGCCAAGAAAGCTGGTATGTTTACTTTTTTAATCTTCTGGTAATTGATTAAGAAATTGCCCTAACTAGGAGTAAAAACAGTGTGGAATTCCAGAATATGGCACTAGTACTGCCATATGAATGCCTGATAATGCAAAAACACGTTAGTATGATTTCAAAGTTGCAGTGATAACCTTTATTTAGGTAAATAACATCACACTCCTATTTTTAAATTTCACATTGTGTTTACTTTGATTTTCGAAAATTTTCCTAATTGATTGTGAAATAATTCGTGTATGCTATCTAATGATGACAATGAAATAGTTGTGTTCCAATATATGCGATAAATACATTATTTTGATATCAATTACACTCACAGCTTTGCATAATTGATATACAGCTTTGCATAACTAATCTACAACAACGGTATTAATATGCAATAAATTAGAAAGCAGTAGGCAAACATTATGCTATTCTATATGTTGTCTGATACGGACCTGAACTTATGGCAATACAAGTAATAAAAATAATAATGAATATTTTAATAAGGTGTAAAAAGGAAGTGGGCTGGGCCAAGTAATTAGTTAGATTGAGGAGAAGCCTCATTGGAAAATAATAAATAGTAGAATTAGAAAAGGGAGAGGCAGACTGGGATTTGGGAAAATTGGGATCTGAGAGAGATAGGGGCCCTCTCGAATTGGCTTCCGTTGTATTCCTCTTGTTTTCTATGACATCAATAATATTTTCTACTCCAATTCTCTGTGTTCGTATCATTGTCCTCTGTATAATTTCTTCAGGGTTATGTTGCATTGCTTCCACACCTATGTACGTCTTAGCAATGATTTTACTACCTCTTTTGGAAGCCTTAAATACTACAATAGTCTAATCCTTGGCATGAATTTTGTAATATAGCCAATTCCATAAAAGCTTCCTATTCGCCATTCGGGAATATATTTCATATTTGATTGAACTTCTAGTGAAATTTAATCTTGATCTATATTCAGCATTGTCTGCATGCACATGGTTGCCTCATCATATCATCAAATTCATCATAAATTGTATCCACACACCTTATACCAATCAATTTTTTAAGTATTCTGAAGGACTATAAAATCACGCCACGTGCCTACTCAGTAACACCTAAACACATGGGTTTAGCATTCTTTGTACCAAACAAGTATGAGTGTTAATTTTGCTTCTGATTGAGTGTTACTGTAACATGATCATTAGATTCAATTTTGATCAGGATTGAAATTTGGCTAGATTTTTTTGTCAACCTTGAACCATGGGTAAATTGGAAATAATTATGGACATGGCTAAATTCGAGATTTACGAATGATTTTTGAACTCTTCCAGTTTAAAAAAGATTTATCTTTGACCTAGGTACAACTATTTACTTTTGCCAACTGCCAAGTGATGTTTGTTTTGAATTGTTAGTTCGATATTCGCTTTAATCTTTTTTGTTTGTTTAGCTATAATTATCTTACATATCCTGTACATAACTCATCTTTGAAAAAAACTCAGAAAATTAACCTACATTATATGAAACATGATTTTTTAGGACCTTCATGAATTTTTGTCTCTCTTTCTATCCACATTTCTTTTGAAAAATAAAAGGATGTAGAAAAGGAATGTGCACTAAGGTGGTTAAGTTGTACCCATTGTATATACTCCCTCCGGATCTTTTTAAACTTCACAGTTTGACTTCACATTGTTTAAGAAAATAAATTTGACTTTACTGTAGAGTACACTGTTGAGACACTGTTTGACACCGTTTGGCACTGTTGAGACACTGTTTCGCACTGTTGAGACATTGTTTGGCACTGTTTAACACTGTTTTGATGTAGATTTCTTTGCCAAATAAGGAAATAAGGAAGTGTGAAGTTTATTTTGGACCGTCCCAAAAAGTGTGAAGTTTAAAAAGATCCGGAGGGAGTATCATCATAAAGCTGTACTTTGTTACATTAGGAATTAAATTTATTTTACAGCGTAGTTGGCTTGAAGGATATGTAATATTTCAGGGTTATATAATCCCCACTTCCCTCATACATTTCTTAGACAATGTGTCATAGGACATAAGGATGCTATATCTGGTAAAATGTTTTGTGAGCTGAGCCTAGTTTTGGTTGCAGGGATGGATTTTCATGAATTGATTGACATCCCACAAGGAGACCGCAGGAAGTACCACGATGATGTTACTGTTATGGTGGTATCACTTGAGGGACGAATTTGGAAATCATCGGGAAAATATCTGTAAGTCTTACTATCAGGGCCCAAAAATAGTTGGCACAATGCTGTAAGCCGGACCGGGTTAAAAGAGTGCTGGCAGCCCTTTGTTCAGCTCACCATGTTAGCCACAATCATATGCTCAGAGCAAAAGCAGGTACTTGGATAGAGGAAATTCATTTCAGGATGAAAATATAAATTTTTGTATTTGGGACTTGCATGGTTGTGTTCTTTGAGGAGAACCCACCCACTTTATTTTTCCCTTTTATTGTCTTCCTAGATTTATCATAGTTTTTTTTTCATTGTTTCTTAATCTTCTCTTGTAGCAAAAAAGCAGCAATTCTTCTAATCAGGTGGTGACTTACTGATACAGCCTTAGGCTATAATTGGGGGGGGGGGGGGGGGGGGGGGTGTGTGTGTGTGAAAGTACTCTTCTAACTGTAGAATGAACAATGGAGCATTTTATTTATTGTGTAGCAAATGCCTTTCTTTTCCAGCACCCTGCAAACCAAATCACGATGGATGATTGTGCAATGCCCATAACATAATAACAATGCCCATTTTTTAAATCTAAAATAACATATTTTAGGATCTCTTTTGTTGGAGATGTACTTCCTCAGTAACTAATAATTTGTCATTTTAGCTGGTAGTATTTTGTAAGGAAATGTTTGTACAATACCTACGTATTTTTTGTCTGGAACTATTTTGTAAGGAATTCACTACAATCTTTGTAGTTTGTACTTTGTACTACTATCCCTTTTTGACAGAATATCCCAAATGTCTATTGACTTTTGTCATATACGAAGTACAATGTTATTCCCTTTGTAGGAGTGGACTCGGGCCGGGCCAACCGGCCCGGAACCGAACCGGCCCGCTACTGTGCGGGCCCGGACCGGACCGGCCCGGCTTGTCGGTTAGGTCACGGTTCGGGCCACCCGGCCCGGTCATGTAGCGGTTCGGGCCCGGGCTGATATTTTGGTGAACCGGCCCGGCCGGCCCGGGCCCGGTCCGGGCCTCAACGGTCACAATTTTTTTTTTTTTTTTTAAATATTTGAAGGCTCTACTAGCCGTTGGGAGACCTCCCAAACGGCTCTATAGCCGTTGGGAGCATAGGAGGGGGGGTCTGGGGGGGGTTAGGGGGGGTGGGGTGGGGGTGGGGGTGGGGTATACAAAAAAAAACCCTATTTATACTCCTATTTGCTATACATTTTTTACACCTTCTTCTACAACTCTTCCTAATCTCTAAATTCTCTATTCTCTCAATCTCTCATATTCAATCATCTTCATTCTTCATCTTCTCCAAATTCTTTCTACATATATATAATTTATATAATTATTATATCTACTTATATATTATAATATTAATTATCTACTTATAAATATATACTTATACACATTCATATTATAATTCTTTACGCATTATATTATATACTATATATTGTTATACATTATATTATATATTACTTATAATATATTTACACATTATATATTTATATATACTATATATAGTTATACATTATATTATATATTACTTATAATATATTTATATATACTATATATAGTTATACATTATATTATATATTACTTATAATATATTTACACATTATATATTTATATATACTATATATAGTTATACATTATATTATATATTACTTATAATATATTTACACATTATATATTTATATATACTATATATATATAAATTACTTAATTTATATATACACTTCTCGTTTATCTATTTAATTACTTAATTGTTTCATTTGTCATATTAATATTAGTTAAAGTAGTTAAAGTTAATTGTTTCATTTGTCATATTAATATTAGTTAAACTACTTAATTGGTCACATATTCCGCATATATATGGTATTGCATTTGTTCTTGATCCTCGTTATAAACTTCCTTACTTGGCAAATTGTATAGATTACTATTATGCTTCTTTTTTTCCAACTCAAGAGTTCGATGATAATCCCATCGACCCTAAACAAGAATTCAACGAGGTTAGTAATTTATTTCATCAATTGTATAATGAATTTCATGCACAATATGGTAATGCACCCCCTCCCATGCAACGAACATCTTCTTCATCTAAAGGAAAATCACTTTTAAAATCCGCTTTTGGTTCTCTTTTGAAAAAAAGTAGAGCAACTCCCGCTACTGAACAAAGCTCAGGTAACGAGCTTTCTTTGTATCTAACATTGAATGTTGATTATGAATTTGGTGATGACTTTGACGTTCTTAAGTGGTGGAAGGAAAATGAAAGAACATTCCCGATTTTATCAAAGATGGCTAAGCAAGTACTAGCAATGCCGATATCAACCGTTGCCGTGGAACAAGAATTCAGTGCGGCCGGCAACGTCCTAACCGATTATAGAACGAGGTTGAGCCCGAGCTCTCTTGAGACACTAGTTTGCTTTCACGATTGGTTGAAGGCCCAACGAAGAACTCAAGAAATTACCATCACTCCCTCCCGCCACTTTATGGAGGAAACAACCGAAGGCGGAGAGTCCGATTGATTTTTTATTACAAAATGTATTACATTTTTTAAATTCATCCTAATTCTCAATTGTACTTCTTATTTGAAATAAATATACTTCAATTCGAATATAATATATTGTAATTGTAATAAGAATTATTCTAATTATATAATATTAAAAAAAAATTAAATAGGCCCGGCCCGGCCCGTGAACCGGGCGGGTGACCCGAACCGAACCGGACCCGGGGTTATCCGGGCCGGTTCCGGGCCTGCCATCCTAGAACTAAGGCCCGGCCGGTTCTAGGCCCGAACCGGGCCCGGCCCGAACCGAGTCCACCACTATCCCTTTGTGCTAAATTGTACGAATATGTTTCATTTGGATTTGACACAGTTATTCATAGGGGTTCACTAAATAAAATACCCCAAACTTTGAAGGGGTGTGGGATTAATAATGTGGTTGAAAATTAAAAGTTGTAATTGTAATTTAAGTAAAATAAAGTGAAATGATATAAATCACATATTACTTGTAGGGATGGTCCCATTGGCCCGGTTATGGTCTGCCTGGCCCGGGAACTGGCCTGGCCCGCCACTGTGCGGGACCGGTCTGGTCCGGTTGCTCTGGATCGGGCTCGGGCCTATGGCTCGACCCGGGGGTGTTTCGGGGGTGGGGGCGGGTTGGGTGTTTCTTTGGTACCGGCCCGGGCCATTTTTTTGAGGTCTTTGGGTGGTAGGCGGGTTGGGTGGGTGTTTTGGAGGAGTTTGGTGTGGGGTGGGGGTAGGAATTAATTAGAAAACCCAAAAAAAAGCTACCCGGCCCGGAACCGGTAGAATCCTGGGTCGGTTCCGGACCTTAACCCCAACGCTTTAATCAGAAATTAGATATGAGACGGTCCCCTGATTGGACTTGTAATTGGCCATAAATATTATGGATTTTCCAATCCTATGGATATTTGAAAAGAGATTTGCTATAACTCTTATACCCACCACCTTATGTGAAAAAAAAATGTGTACAAACAGAATTTTTGTTTAGAAAATACCCAGAACCGTTCCCAAGTATATATGAGGATTAGACCGGTCGGTTTAGGTGCCTCTCTTCCATCTTCATGATTTACCTGTTTCGAAAGTACTCTACATATGATAAGCTTTATTCTAAATGTATGTATATGTAACTCGAATTCCATTCGGTAGGTCCTATTATGTAGTTTATTTTGCTCTGAAATTCAATGGACACTAAGTTGGTTAAAAATACAAATATATGACCAAAAGAGAGAAATTCCCAAAATATGGCTTAATAATTTATTTATCTTTCGTATGACTGTAAACTCGTGTGTACAAACCATTATTCAGTCGTGCATATCATATATGTGAATAAGTAGGAGTAAATAACGTCCTATATTTAAGCAAATTAAAGGGATGGTGGATGACCATCAAACCATGCATACGTTTACCCTCATAGATCGGGAACAAAAACTACTGAAGTCATATGTTAGGAAAGTAGTGTTGTTTTAGTCACATGAGAGATAATACTCTCTTTTTTTATATAGGGTGAACTGCACATTCTAAACAACATTTAAAATTAATAGTACCAAGATTAACAATAATAACAACAATCCACGAGCACTCGAGCAGTAATTGATATCAACAAAATCGATGTTAAGATTGAGAATATAAAATGTGTCTCGAGCCCAATCGCATAATTACTGTATAAAAGCAAGTCTAAGAATTTACAAGTACATAAAAGGTTTTTTATTTAATAAGGAAGTATCATTCTGGGAGGATTCTGGAAAAATTATTGCAATATGACATTTATAACAATAAACAATAATATCATACTAGTATTGATTATTGACAGTATACTACAAAGAAGCGAGGATATAAGCGCACACACACACATATATATATATGTGTGTGTGTGTGTGTGTGTGTGTGTGTGTGTGTGTGCAGGCTACATTGCCTGAGAGGGTAACTGGTTTTGCAAAGGGTTATCAATACCCTCCATTGCCTTTTTCTTGGGTTTTTTCCTTGCATCATCATCATTATTATTAATCATGATCACCCCATCACAGCCATCAAACTCCTTGAAATGCGCTATCTTCCCCAACTCCTCCACATCCTCGATCACACTCTCCAGCCTCGCCACAAGCTCCACCAACAACGACGCAAACGCTGCGAACGGCAGCGCCTCCGAGAAGTTCAAGGAAGTGATTGCTATCTTGCTCAGCGTAGGCCTTAATGTCTTCCTCTCCTCTTCTCTCCCCCTTGAACTTCCCTTTCTTGACTTCCACTCCATTAGTGCTGATGTGTCCGTCTTCACGCTGGAAAGCGACAACTTGTGTTGCTCCCTCGCTGCAGCCGCAGCCATGGCCAGCATGTTGGAGGTGCCGCTCCGACCGCCAAGGAAAAGCCTTGGTTGGGACTTTATGGCTGAGTTGAGGTCTTGGAGGGCTTTGTGGAGGTGATCGGAAAGGATTTCTGGCGAGCATTGCCGACGGTGGCGAATGCTGTCGCCGAGTTCCCTCAAAGCTTTTGATACTTCTCCAGCGAGGCGAATGCACGGGTCTTTGAAGAGACCGCGAAGAGATTGAGGAGTCTGTAATATATTTCAATTAACCACAAAAGTGTTGATTACTTAACATACCTAGAACCAAAATGAATTAAATATCTTCAACAATAAGAGTACTCAAATGTAAAACTGCACCATGACAATTTACTTAGTCATATGAGACTGAGAGTTTTCAATGTATTTAACTCCATATAACATGGAACTTTAGATATTCATTACCTGAATTTCAGTTTGTACACAACCATGAAGAGCCACGACGGTATACCCAAAATGGCGAAGAACGGCTCCTAATTTAACATACCGTTGCCATGGAAACTTGTGACAGTGTAAGGTATGCCTGGGCTCCCAACTTGCATACAACGCCTGCCAATATATAAATGCAAATGGAATGAATTCAATTTTCATTGCTATTCATCTGCTCCCTCCAGTCCCCAAAACAACTTCAAACTTTCCTTTTCAGGTAGGTCTAAAATAAAATTCAATCTTCTATTTTTGACAACTTTTTAATATAAAGTTACTCTTATACTCTTACTTTATTACCTACTTTACACTCACTTTCTCTCTCCCATTACACTTTATCTTATTTTTTGGGGACATAATGAGAAAGTCAAAACAAAAAATTCCACTTTCTTAAAAATTGTGAAGTCAAAAAATTCCACTTTCTTAAAATTCAACTTTCACCAAACCCCAAACATAGATCCTCACTTGTGTCCCACAAAGCATTTTTCAGAAAATAAGTATTTAATCTAAATTGTTTTCTATGAAGGTGATTGATTCTAAGTCTGGTTCAAGAACAGATGACAGACAAAAGGTTTTTTGTCGATTTGTACTCTGCTTACATTTTGTTATCTTAATATAAGCCACTTTGGTTGAAAAAAAAACTCACAAGGTTCTCGTCTATGGACTTTGAATCCAAAACAGCCTTGTAGCTCTTGCCGATTGGGTCCTCCGAGTCCGGTGCTTCTGTTTTGCCTATTTCAAGCTCTCCGTCGCTAAAATACCCTTTAACACAATCTACAAATATAGCATTGTCTAGCTGTGTTAGTTAATGATGAAGACCTATATATGGTTCGTGGCATCATTAAGTTAAATCACCGTGTCTTATTTAGTTTGAGATGTTCACATATATTTGCATTTTTTAGTGAAGAGAGAAATTTGATTACGTGATATGTGATTTTTGTTATTTATCTACACATCCAGTGGCCGAACCAGAAAAATGGCTCAGAGGATCAAAACTCAACCTATATACAAAATGAAAATGGTGGATGGTTTTTAAACAATGTCCGAGTGTTAGAAAATAGAAGAGATTGTAGGTGTATGAGTAGGATAAGTGATTTTAGTTAGGTGTATTGTAGAGGATGTGTTTTAGAGTAGAGCTCTTGTTTCTAGAAAAGTAGTATTGTATTGATGTTGCTTGGTTTGCTTGTTCAGCAAATGAGTACATAAGGTCCTATTTATAGGTGCTAGAGGATCATTCTAGATCCTTATTAAATACTAGGAATCTAGAGTATTCTACAACTATGACTATCTACTCTAGATTTTACGTAACAATTCTCTAGTAGAGAATTCTCTAGAACATTTTTTTTAATTCTCTAGAACATTTCTAGCTTTAACTACATAGAATATTCGAGATAAATGCATCACTATTTAATACTCCTCCTTGATGCATTTGTCGGTAACTTCAAGCATTCTTCGCAGAAAATGGAATTTGTCTCTTGGCAGGGCCTTCATGAAAATATCCGCCAATTGTTCTTCTGTTGGACAGTACCTCATCTCAATATGCCCCTTTGCTTGGACATCTCTCAAGAAGTGATACTTGATATCCATGTGCTTAGTGCGATTGTGCTGAACTGGATTTTTAGCCATTGCAATAGTTGCTGACTTGTTGTCGCAAAAGATCTCTATCGCAGAGATTTGCAATTCTCCCATATCTTCTAATATTCTTTTCAGCGATACAGCTTAGCAAGCTCCTCCGGCTGCTGCAACATACTCGGCTTCTGCTGATGATAGTGCGACTGAATCTTGCTTATTTGATCCCCATGAGAAAATTCCTGAACCAAGCTTAAAAGCGTAACCAGATGTGCTTTTCATGTCATCTTGAGATTCATCCCAATCACTGTCGCTATATCCAGTAAGTCGTGAGTCAGGGCTTGTTTTGTACCAAATACCATAGCTAATTGTCCCTTGTATGTACCTAAGGAGTCTCTTTGCCGCTCTCTCAGTAGGACTTTCCATGAACCTCGAGAGCAAGCTTGTAGCATACATTATGCCTGGTCTTGTATCCATTAAGTAAAGTAGACTCTCAATCAAACTTCGGTAATTGGTAGCGTCTGTCTGCTTTGACCCATCTTCTTTCTTCAATTTCTCATTAGGAACCAATGGAGTAACGACGGCTTTGCAGTCTTGCATTTTGAACTTCTTTAGCATGTCTTTAATATATTTTTCTTGAGATAAGAATATACCTTCTTCTTGACTTATCTCCATGCCAAGGAAGCAGTGCATTAATCCCAAGTCACTGATCTCAAAAGTGTTTGTCATGTCTCTCTTAAATTCTTCAATTAATTTTGAATTATTTCTTGTGACAATTAAATCATCAACATATAGAGAGACAATGATAATGTCAGATTTACCTTGGGATTTGATGTATAATGTAGCCTCATTCTTGCTCTTCCTGAATCCTTGACGCGTGAAGTATCCATCAATTTTGCTATACCAGGCTCGTGGAGCTTGTTTGAGCCCGTAAAGCGCTTTCTTTAGACGAAGAACCTTTCCTTCTTTGATGAATCCTTCTGGTTGCTCTACATACAATTCTTCTTTTAATTCTCCATTTAGAATGGCTGACTTAACGTCTAGCTGATAGATTTTCCGTTTCTTCTGAGCTGCAAGAGCTATGAGTGTTCTTATTGTGTCCATCCGAAAAACTGGTGCCAACGTCTTTATGTGGTCAACTCCCGGTATTTGAGCATACCCCTTTGCAACCAACCTTACCTTATGTTTCTGAATTGAGCCATCGGGGTTCAACTTCGTTTTGTACACCCATTTGACTCCAATAACCTCCTTGTTATGTAAAAGGTCAACCATTTCCCAAGTATCATTCTTTTCTATCATTTTGATCTCCTCCTCCATTGCTTTAATCCAAACTTTTGCTTTGGAGGCTTCAGTGTAACTATGTGGCTCCAAGGAACAAAAGTTGCATGTTTCATAGATGTCAGTAGACTCATATATGTCTGCTAGAGTTCTTACCCGAAGAGGTGGGGACTCTGGCGAGGAGATGTGATTTCTTGATGTATTAGCTTCAAAAGAGGATATTGGAGTAGATGTGGGGCTTTGTTGATCATGATTTTCCTCTTCTAGTATTTTCTTTAGTTGGGCAGTAGTTGTCTTTCTTTCAACTTTTTCTGTCTCCCAATTCCAAGAGGCTTGCTCGTCAAACTCCACATCTCGACTTGTCACTAATTTCTTTGTCTTGAGATTGTAGATTCAATATCCCTTGGATTTGGAGTTGTAGCCGAGGAAGATGCCCTTCTCTGCTTTATCTTCTAACTTGTGCCTTTTTACGGATGGAACGTGGATGTAACATATGCTTCCAAACACCTTCAAATGTTTGGCTGAAGGCTTTTGTCCCGACCATGCCTCAATAGGTGTTTTGTTCAGAACGGTCTTAGTTGGATATCGGTTGAGTAGGTAGACTGAAGTATACACTGCCTCTGCCCAAAACATTTTTGGCGGTCCTTTCTCAGCTAGCATGGATCTCACCATCTCCATGACTGTTCGATTCTTCCTTTCTGACACCCCATTTTGTTGTGGAGTGTATGCTACTATTAGTTGATGCTCTACACCTTCATCTTCACAGAACTTGTCAAATTCTTTTGAGTTGTATTCGGTACCTCGATCGCTTCTCAACTTCTTGATTTGATGACCACTCTGTTTCTCCACGAAGTTCTTGAATCTCTTGAATATTCTAAAGACTTCGGATTTTTCTTGGAAAAAATACACCCATGTCATCCTTGAGTAATCATCAATGAAGAGTATGAAGTACATGTTCTTCGAAACTGAAGGCGTGCGCATTCGACTGCAAACATCGATGTGGACAAGCTCTGGTATATGTTTGGCTCTCCATGTTTTCTCTGTTGGAAATGGTTGCCTGTGCTGCTTCCTAACCATACATCCTTCACATACTCCTTCTTTTTCATCCAATAGTGTCATGTCTCTCATCATCTTCTTTTGGTGTAGTAATCTCAAGGCATTAAGATTGAAGTGCCCAAATCTTCGATGCCATAGACTCGTATCACTTAGTTGAGCCACCATCGCCTTTTGTGGATATTGCCATTGAATGGGAGTTTCTATTATTTTCCATTTTTACTTCAGCAATTTCTTGATTATTATTCTTGTCATAAATTCGGCAAGAATTTTTCTCAAAGTGTAAGGCATATCCACTTTCTATCATTTGGCCAAGACTTAGTAGATTTTATGCAAAGCGTGGTACTAGGAGAACGTTTCTAATAAAGCACGTACATTTCTTTGTATCTATGACAATGGTACCTTTCCCTTTTGCCTCCACCAAATCGCCATTGCCCATCTTGACCTTTGTCTTGATAGAGGTGTCTAACTCATGGAAGATGGTCTCGTTGGATGTCATGTGATTGTTGCATCCACTATCGATGGACCACTCTTCTTCTTTTGCTTCTATTGCTGAGTGACATGCGTAGAACATGTACTCTTTCTCCTTGAAATCTTCAGAATAGTTAGCCTGATAGTTTCTTCTATCTCTGCAATCTTTTTCTTCATGCCCGAACCTCTTGCAATTTCTGCATTGTGGCTTTCCTCGATGGTAGCAATCTTTCTCTAAGTGATTAGTCTTCTTGCATATTTTGCATGGTGGAAAGTTCGTCTTCCTCTCCTTGTTGTTAGAATTCCCATCTTGATGAGGTTTTCCACCATTTCTCGAGTCATTCCTTTTAATGTTGAGCTTAGACTGGAAGGCACTTTCTAATGAACTTTCATGTCTTTTGTTCAGCCTTTGCTCACGTGCTTCTAGCGACCCCATTAATTCAGTGATGGACATTTTTGATATATCTTTAGACTCCTCAATAGCCGAAACTATTGGATCATATTTTTCAGGGAGGCTGATTAAGACCTTCTGGACTATTCTCTCGTCGGTTATGTTTTCTCCAAGAGTTCTCATTTCGTTGACTATATGTATAACCCGAGAGAAATAATCTTTTGCCATTTCAGAATCTCTCATCTTTAAATTTCGAGCTCTCATCTTAAACTTTGTAATTTAATAGTTCTAACTTTCTCATTTCCTTGAAATTCCTCCTTAAGAATATCCAAGCTTCTTTTGCCGTAGTAGCACGAATTATTCTTGGGAAAATAGTATCACAAACGGATTGTTGAAGAAGATAGAGAGCTCTAGCATTTTGCTGCTTTTGTTTCTTACGTACCTCGGAAGTTGATGCGTCATCGCTTCCTTTTTCCGGCATGATGATTCCTTCTTCAACAATATCCCAGAGATCATGTGATTCTAGGCAAGTCTTCATACGGACACTCCAATACTCATAGCTTTCTTCATTGAACATCGGAGTCGATACCGAGAAGCTTGATGTCGCCATAACGCCCGCTTATGATCGAACGAGCTCTGATACCACTTGTTAGAAAATAGAAGAGATTGTAGGTGTATGAGTAGGATAAGTGATTTTAGTTAGGTATATTGTAGAGGATGTGTTCTAGAGTAGAGCTCTTATCTCTAGAAAAGTAGTATTGTATTGATTTTGCTTGGTTTGCTTGTTGAGCAAATGAGTACATAAGGTCATATTTGTAGGTGCTAGAGGATCATTCTAGATCCTTATTAAATACTAGGAATCTAGAGTATTCTACAACTATGTCTATCTACTCTAGATTTTACATAAGAATTCTCTAGTAGAGAATTCTCTAGAACATTATTTGTTTTAATTCTCTAGAACATTTCTAGCTTTAACTACATAGAATATTCTAGATAAATGCATCACTATTTAATACCGAGTTGAATATTTCATATGCAGTTTATACCCTATTTTTAAAATTTGGGGAAAAAATCTGTAGAATGCATTAAATTTTGTTGATTTTACATTTAGATAGTGCTGATTTTCCAGAAGTCATAACTTTTTACTCGTATTAAGTTACGGGGGTCATAATATATCAAATCGAAGATATTTCAGAGCCCTATACTCTCAAACTTTCAGCGGGATCAGCTGACCATCTTGACCCCTCCTTGGCTCTGCCCCTGTACACGTCAATTAAAGACTATAGAGGGATCGTTCCTTTGATACTACTTAAATGTAACCTATTACTTAGTCATTTAGTTTGTTTTTCCCACACATTTATAAGAATCAAAGTATAGGAAAAAATGCTAAAATAAAAAGTGGAATATAAAGTCCTATTATTGACAAAAAAAAATAAATGAAAAGGGGAGGTAGATTTAGGTTTTTATATACTTTGATAAAATGGGCTTTAATATGTTTCAAGGATTCAGCTATTAAGTCATGTTTACTTACGACTTAATTAAAAACGTGATTTAATCATTGAGTAAAAAATTGACTTAATTATTAATCTAGAAAACAATATATAGTCCTTCCCATTAAGATGTCTTTTTGTTATTTTTTTTAAATCGATTGTGGAATAGATTAAAGTTTGTAAACAAAATTTCTCATTGACATTATAATTAACGAATAATACTAAATTGATTATTTTAGTCAATTTAGTTTATTCAACACACTAAATAAACAATATCATATACAAATAAGACTTCATTCAAACAGACGTCATAATCAAGCCGACAAATATCTTAATCAGGACAAGACTTGATAGTAAAAACTAAACAACCCCATAGATATAGATACCTTCAATGGATTTGGCGAGGCCATCAAACTTGCTAACAGTGGAATGATGGAGGTCTTCTCCAGACCAATTTGGAAAGAACAATAAACTCATTAGCAAACAGATTGCGCACCCAATGGCTATAGTGTAGACCCGTTGTTGCGCCATTTTGAGTATGTGCTCCACCCGATAACTCGAAACCGTGATCAAGTTGAAAGTCAACATGAATATCACCAAACCATAGTCGTAATGCTTCCTTATGTACGGAAAAAATCTCATGTATGTTGTTATTGCTCCTGCAATTATATTAATTACAGGTATGTTTTTGGACGATTAGTTTTCTTTTCAATGCTGAAATAAGAAACATGTTTTTAGGTTTTCCTAAAATATTACTCATATGATGATATGAAAACTTCTGAAAAAATGTGACTGTAATTACCATGAGTGTAAATTAAAATTGAATATGTTTACGGTAACAAAAAATGAGTAATGTAGTCATTACAATGTCACATTTTTCCATCATCTTGATTTTAGAAATATTTACGTCATTATTTATTTAATTCATTATTTATTCTTATTAAAAAAAGAATAAAAGAATGAAAATTGTCCAACCAATAGTGCACGAGTCTTATTCCGGAACAAAAACTATTGTTCATTTATTTGAGAAACTTTGCTATATTTTTATTCAAATTTAGGGAATTTTATATATGTAAAGAGTATTGTGAGTAGAGAAAAGATCGTGAGAAGTGCTCCTTAAAATGAGAAATGAGAAGTGAGAAGTAATCTCAGCCCTTGGATTTGCATGTGATCTTGCAACTCAGTAAACTTATAGACTGAATATAGGAACTTATAACCAATAAATCATAACTTATAAAGTCCTTCATCATAATTACGAAAATGCCACCGCGTCCAAAAAATTTCAAGGTTTCCAGACTTATTTTTTTAGAAATTAGTTCAAATAGGACTAAAATTATGGCAAAAACTTAAAATAGGACTTGCTATGTTTTTATTCCAAAATAGGATCATATGAGTCCTATTGGAAACATACCTATTTTTGCATTCCATTCTTACCCTTCCATTAAATATGAATTAAAAATAGTCAAAAGCCATAATTAAATGTTTAATTCATAATAAATTCGAAAAAAATTCAAAAATTCGTAGAAATATAATTAAAAAATTTATAAAATATTTATAAAATAAAAAATTCAAAAACTTTTTTTTTAAATAATTTTATTTTTAAAAAAATAACAAAAAATAGTAAAACTCCGTTAAAAAAATTTAAAAAAAATATGGATGCCTTTCCCACCGCCTGTACTACCTCCCAGCACCACCACCTCCGGCCGATGAAAAAAATTTCATTTTCCCAGAAAAATGCCATTTTTTCTGAAAATGCCAAAAAAGTGGCATATTTCTCTTTTCGAATGCCAACATTTTCATTTTTTTCTGCCATAAATATGGCATTCGTAATGAACTTGGCATTTTCCCCCCTGATGACTGGAGATGGTGGTGCTGAGGCGGCAGAGGCGGCGGCGATTTTTTTTTTTTTGAGTTTTTTTTTTTGTAATTTTTTTTAATTTTTTTAATTTTTTGAAAAAAAATTTAATTAAATTTTTAATATCGAAATGTTTTTCTTAATTTTTTAGTATTTTTTACGAATTTTTATTATTTTTTATTATTTTATTAGGAATTAAAACATTTTAATAGCTATAAGGGTATAATTGTCCAAGGTACACATAATTAGTCTTATGCAAACATAGTTTATTTTTTGATCCTATTTGTGAAAAGTGAATGACTTTTAGTCCTATTTTGATAATTAACTCTTATTTTTTTGCAGTGGCATTTTCGTAATTATTTTTGACAGGGTCTATAAGTTATGATTTATTGGTTAAAAGTTCCTATTTTTAGTCTATTAGTTAAACTTTTCAGTTTTCAGCTTAAGAGCACTTCTCACCTGATCCGCTCCCATTACGAGTATAAATATGATAGGAAATTTAGTATTATTACCAAGAATGAAAACTACAGAACCAATAAAGATAGCCCGAAAAATCCCATCACATTCGGTGGTAATATACTCGATGAAGAAGGCTAGCAAGCCGGCCATCAACGTTCCCAGTCCTCTATTCAATCCTTTGTACAATGTTGCCCCTACACAATTTTCAAATTAATTCATTTTCATAAACAAGACATCTGATCGAAATACCTACAGCTTTATATGGTTTCATAAAATCAAACAAAATCGCAACTATGGATAATTCATAATAACTATACATAATAAACAAGTCATATATATAATTAAGTACAAAAAAAGACCCGGTTTAATCAAATGAAGGCATTTTCTATTTAATTTGTCAAAACAAATTTTACATAAGAGTCACTTACATGCGTGTGTATTTAACTCATACTATCCATATTCATATTCATAGTTCATGTGGTGAAATCAAGATGACATCTTTTGTACATCCATTTCTGTGATCCATTTCTTTGATCCAAGCAAGACTATTTTCTTAAGAAAAATACTATAGATACCCCTATTATGTGGCTCAAATGGGACAATTCATTTAAGTGAACCACACAATTGATGCGGTAAAAATTGGGTACCCAAAATGGGGTACACCAAACAATACTCTTTTCTTAAAGAAGGGAAATTCTTAACTTATTACATTTATAAGTCACTATGTCAATAAAATGTCAGATCAAAATGGGGTACACCAAACAATACTCTTTTCTTAAAGAAGAGAAATTCTTAACTTATTACATTTATAAGTCACTATGTCAATAAAATGTCAGATCAATCAAGTTAACATTTTGTTTTGTCATCATGATGTCATTATTGCTTCGTGATAACTTTGATATGATGATAATAATTTGATTTGATTAATGATTATGATATTATGCATTGATAATTTTAGCATAATGTTATAATGAGTCCCTAAAAAGTACAAAGAGGACTACTATTTTTTCAATTCCCCAAATAGAACTAAACATTGATTTTCTACCCTAAATACCCGTAAGGGTATTAATTCATAATGAAATGCTTTAATCCATAATAAAATCATAAAAATAATACAAAATTGTAAAAATTAATAAATATCATAAAAAAATTATAAAAAAAAATAAAATATTACTCCGTAACAAAATAAAAATTTTAAAAATAATTTTTTAATTAAAAAAAGGAAATAGTAAAAACCCATAAAAAAATATGGATACCTTTCCCACCGCCTCCCACCGATTACCAGCATCACCACCTCCGATCGATGAAATTTATGCCATTTTTTTATAAAAATGCCATCTTTTTCTGAAAATGCCAAGAAAATGGCACAATTACTCTAATCTTCAATATGCCAACATTTTCATTGACTCTTCCATCATTATGGAATTATTTAAAATGTTGGCATACTTTCTCCGGTGATGGGAGCTGGTGGTGCTGGGGTGGCAGAGGCATCGTTGTTTTGTTTTTACGTTTTTTTTATTTTTTAATTTTTGTTCTAAAAAATTTAAATTTTTATTTGATAAATATTTTTTTTGTTATTTGTTTACTATTTTCTTTTTTTTGTGTGTTTTTATTATTTGTTTTGATTTTATTATTAATTAAAACTTTTCAAAAGCTACAAGAGTATATTTGTCCAAACACACATAAATAGTCCTATTAGAGGAATTTTAGAAATGTAATCCTATTTTTGCAATTTTGTAACTCTTTAATCCTATTTAGGGAATTGACCCTCCTATCCAATAAGGATGACATTTTGTTTCACGTCGACTTAATCGTATGGCCAAAATTTACTCTCACTTTTACCCCTGCCCAATAACATGAAAGAATCACGGTTCAACGCATATTGGCAATATCCCCCATGTTCTGGTCCTATTTGAGCCCATTATATTCTCTACACAAAAATCTTAATTATCTCAAATTGCCTAGAAAAAAGATTTGGTTCAAAGATATAGATTGGAGATTCAAGTACCAGCAGTGAATTCTAGGACGACAACAACGGTCATGACAGCCCAAATGGCGTTCTGGCCAACTTCCTTGAACAATGGCTCTAACAGATACAGCAAAGACACCAACGTTAATGACAACCCCACTTTAACTGCGTGGATTAATCTCCGAGGATCTTCCCGTCCCACACTCACAAACCTCTCCCACGTTAACCCCGGCATCCTCTTCGCTCTCTCGCCCAGATTCTTGCTCTGTTTCTCCATCTTTGAGCTCATCATTTCCCACCACTTCATATATGCATGCAGTTCTGATCTCCACGTAAATTTTATAATAATAACCCTTGAACTACTGTTTAGCTAGATAGAGACCATGCAAGGCCTGATATATGGAGGATATAAGAACTTGTATACTATTATATGGTTTGTATTATTAAAACAAAGATTTTGGAGGTTTTGTGTACTACTGATGTGGCACCTCTAGGCTTTGACACAAAACAAATAAAAAAAATACTCCGCAAAAGAGAGTGGCTAGGTTGTAATTTGATGTGCTCACATGATTATAAATAAAGTTGTTTCATAAATTAATTGGCTTCACAAGAACATAAATATATACAAGCTAAGTCAACACGGAGATAAGAGGAGGATCGGACCTAAATGATCATGCATCAAATAAATATGGATTGATTGGTTTTGCCGGCTGGAAAAGGTAATCAGAACTTTGTGACGGTAAATACTGAAACAGATCACTGCAAATTTTTTGTGTGCCCATTGAATGGGTGCTAGCTATATACAATACACCATTTGTTCATTAATTAAAGCCCCGCTTTCACTTGAAACATATTAATGGAAAAAATGTATTTATAAGTAAATTTTACTGTACAGCACACTGTTTTGAACAATTTTGTAAGAATATTTACATTGCGGGCTAATGAAATGAATTGAGTTTAGAAATAAAATAGAGCCTATTTGATAGAGAAATGGTCATAAATAAGACCACAACTTTAGTTATATACCCGTATAGGACCACCTAGCTAGTTTTTAAAACCTAAATATGACTTGTTTTTTAGTCAATACCAAGTTTGCCCCTGATTTAATTGGAGGTAATGCTTTTCCCCTTCGTGTTACTTGAGACATACATGTTGGGATTAGTTAATAATCTTAATTCTAGCAATAATAATTAATAGCATTAATTATGTTGCAAGAGAAATGAAGTTACATGGAAAGTTGATATCTAGGGGAAATTTAAAGGTTATCTAGGGGAATTAAATTAAAAGGACATTCCTAGAGAATTAAAGAGACTTCTAGAAACTAGTATTGCATTAATTATCTTGTCATTTGTATAACCTATATAAAGGCCACCATGCAAGACTTTGAGTTGAAGTGAACCAAGTGAATGTCTCCTCCATTATATTGTGTGTATCATCTCCTTCAATAACCTGGAAATATTCTGGTGAGTCTTGGGCCAACAAATTGGTATGAGAGCCACATTTGTGTTAGTGAACGAAGAGAATGGCAGCCACTATGTTTGGTCAACTTCCCCAGTTGAAAAAAACAAACTTTGATCGATGGAAATCAGGCATTCACCAGCTTCTGATCGCGTAATGAATCGAATGAATCGAATGATCGTGGAGTTTTCCAACATGGGGCCTCACGCAGAAGGGAGGTACTTGTTCTATGTGGTGCAGCACATCCCTGAAGGCTTCCCCTAGCCTCACCAACTTGACTCACTAGTCTGACTTGGTCGAGGCACCTCGTCTTGAGACCATTAAGGTATGAATTCTTTTGGTCCATATTGTGGATTTTGTATTCCCTTATATTATATTTAATCACGGTTGCCACCCTTGAGACTAGAGTTTATTATCACCGGCCTTTCCTAGCTGCCGACCGGGAGATGATGCTCCTGGCTCGTGATCGGGATGAGAGCCAAACTCTCCTTGCCGCTGCCCGTAAGCTGATTGCGGACCTGCAGGATCGTGCCACCAAAGGTGAAAAAGTGATGGCCGAGCTGGCTGAAGCGGAGGATAGGGTCCGTTGTCGCGATCGCACTATCAGCGATCTTAGGGCCAAGGTGAAGGTGGCCGAAAATGCTGGAGTAAAATTCGAGAAGGCCAAGGGAGAAAATCCCCCCGTTCCTTATTCTGCCAATGTCTCCAAGATCACCAATCAAGCGGTGATTGACTTCCAAGGGGGGAAAGGGTTGAGCGTTGCCTTGGAAGAGACTACTCGGCAATTCTTAGGGGCTCATATTGGCCAACACCTTCGTGCTAGTGAGGACCCTATAGCAGCTGGAATCAAACTCCTGGATGAGACGCCGGAAGGGACGACCTTCGTGGATGCTTTGGCTAAGGACACGCTGGTCAAGAGCCAAGATCTACTTGTCGATCGAAATCTTGATATGATCATGGAGCACTTTCCCAAGCCGTTCGACCCCGATGAGGCTGGTTTCGATGAGTTGTTCGGGAATGCTTATGATCGCGTAATGAAGAAGAGAAGCAAGGCAGTATCCGAGGCAAAAGACCCTACAGAGCCTGGTAGTTCAAAGCACGCATCTTCCCCGACCAAGGATCCTCCAATAGCATAATTCTGTACTTGTTCCTCTTTTTGATTCATTCTTTATCTCCTTTTGTATTTTCCGGCTGGTAGTGTCAAAGAATAAAGATCCTCCATTTTTCAGATTATTGCCCCGATCATGCAAGTTTTTAGACCGATGTTTTCTTTACCGGTTTCTCATCTTCCAAGCCCATAGTTCTGATGCCCCGTTTGGTTTTCACCGATCCGGATTATCCACAATAAGGGTTTGAGATGTCCATTTTCAAACTATAAGTAAGATCCCCTATTCGGGTCATTTCCTACCTAAAGCTAAAATGGCGACTCACCTCCAAATCATAGCTCGGATTCCATCCTTCGATCACATGTCATCGTGGTTCGTCGAAGCTAACGACTGAGGCGAGATTTAACAACCATAGTTCTGATCCCCCATTCGGCTCATCCGTGTTACCGAATGCCGCTCGGATTGTCCATACTTATGGTTTTAACATCACCTCTAAGCTATCTTGAATCCTTTACTTGCTCGTTTAGAGCGCAAGGTCAAAACTTAGTTGAGATGACGGCTCCCTTCATACCATAGCAATGATCCCCATTCGGTCATCCGGAATGGTTTTCAATGTTTATAGTCGAGGTGAGGATTTTCTGGAAGTTATGTCTCCCTTTGTAAGACATAACTCAGGTGCTCAACATTCCAGGTGCCTACCGAACGACCTTCTGTAGTTCTTAGGCCGAACGTCCTTGAAGTGTACTTCTTCGAAACTTGGAATGGACCTTCCCAATTTTTTGCCAATTTTCCGCTCTCAAGCGGCTTACTCTTTTCTCTTTTCCTTAGAACCAAATCTCCTACCTCGATCGAACGGGCCTTGACTTGCTTATCAAAATATCCTCAGGTGGCTCTCTGATACTCCTTGATTCTTCTTGTAGCCAAGTCCCTTCTTTCTTCAATGAAATGCAGTTCTGCCCGCAAAGTGTCTTCGTTGCCTTTGGGATCAAAATGGATCGTTCGGTATGTTGGTACCAGAACTTTTGTTGGGACTTTGGCCTGAAAACCGTATGAGAGAGCGAACGGCGTTTCTCCAGTGGCTGTTCTGGGGGTCCTCTGGTATGTCCACAATATGTAATTAAGCTGATCGGGCCATGAAGAGGAACATTTCTCAAGATTGTTCTTTATCCCGTCCATGATTGTTCTACTCATATTCTCCACGTGGCCGTTCGCCTGAGGGTATGCTACTGATACCCTAGAGTGCTTGATTCCCCATTTGGTTAGATATTGTTCAAAGCCTTTGCTCACGAATTGCCTGCCGTTATCAGTGATGATTTGCTCCGGGAGGCCAAATCAGCAAATGATGTTCTGCCATACAAACTTCTGACACTTGAATTTCGTAATGCTGGCTAAAGGTTCGGCCTCCACCCATTTGGTGAAGTAATCAATCCCCACTATAATGCATTTCATCCCTGCGGGTGCTGTAGATAGGGGCCCTAACAAGTTGATCCCTCACCTAACAAATGGTAGCGCTGTAGTCATTGGTGTATCAAAACTTGTTGGCCGTACGTCCGGGCACTGGGCATATTGCTGGTAGATTTTACACTTCCATGTATGTGCAAAACAGTCCTGCTGAATGGTCGACCAATAGTATCCTTGCAAGATGATCTTCCTTGCCAGTGTTTTTGGCCCTTGATGGCTCGAACAGATCCCCTCATGTATTTCTTCCATCACTGCTGCCGCAAGACCGGGCGGGAGGCATTTTAGGTATGGCCCCCCCGAACGTCTTTCTTGTACAATTGCCCATCCATCAGCTCGAACATGGGCGCCCTCCTTTGGATGAATGTGGCATTATACGCTGAATTCTTGTCCGTTGGAAAAGATCCATCCTTCAAGTAGTTGGTCATGTCTGTGACCCAACTAGGAACGGCATATGATATAGCCTCCACCTGAAGGACCATCGTAGCTGGTGTTGCCAACGTCTCCCGATGGGCAAACCGCTGGATGTGTGCAGGGATGAGCTGAGCCCGATCATCCAATGCGGCATTCTCAAGTTTCGATAGAATATCTTCCTCTGCATTCTCTATTCTGGAAATCTGATCGAGCACCACCTGTTCAAACTTGCCGGTCTGTTCCTGGAATAGTTCCTTGTAAGCTTTCATTCTTTCTTCCTTTGCCTCGGCAGTACCATTCACCTGGCCAACCACTAGCTTGCTATCCGAGCGAACTTTCAGCCAATCGGCACCCAGAGCTTTGGAATATTTCAGTCCTGCAATAAGGGCCTCATACTCGGCCTCATTATTAAACACTTTAAAATAAAAAAGAATAGAATAATATGCCTTAAACTGTAACACCCCGCCTTGTCGGGCCGTGGTAGTTACTTCTGACCTCTAGTACTGTCCTCACAAACCGCCACTAGCCTTTTCCACGCACTTTGTCCTCACTCATGCACGCCCTAAGAAACTTCCCAGGGGGTCACCCATCCCAAGACTATTCTCGTGCACTATTCTCGTGCAAGCACGCTTAACTTTGGAGTTCTTGGCTAATGAGCAGCCTTAAAAGGAGATGCACCTTATTGGTATGAGTAGTACTATTAATCCATTTAAATTAAATCTCAAGTATTACAATCACCCCCACTTAGGAATGCAATGTCCTCGTTGCGCCCATAAACCAATCTCAAATCTCAATGAAATCCTAGAATCCTCCCCCGCTAAGTGTCTACCCGATATCCAACGGGTCAACACACTGTCGCAGGGTTGCTCTGATACCACCTGTAACCCCCTTCCTCGTCGGGCCGAGGTAGTTACTTCTGAACTCTATTAATGTCCTCATAAACCGCCACTAGCCTTTTCCACGCACTTTGTCCTCACTCGTGCGTGCCCTGAGAAACTTCTAAGGGGGTCACTCATCCCAAGACTACTCTCGTGCAAGCACGCTTAACTTTGGAGTTCTTGACTAATGAGCT